GCCCTACTCTAAACACAATTTAAGTGTTCAAAAATGTTAAAATGATTCAAGGAAATGTGACTTTATAATTTTACTATTTTTACACCAAAATCTTTCAATACAATCATTCACATTAGTGAAATTTTAAATAACTAATTAGGGTTAGATACAGCACCAGATATACAATCTCACTTATTTCATGAAACCAATAATCAATGAACCATCAAATATAAGAATAAATAAACATGTCACATGATTGTAGAGAATATTATATGCCTATTTATAAACCAGCTGTGGAATTGCGAATTAATGTGGTTTGACAGTTCAGCTTGTTTACATTTGGGTGGGATAGAAAATTGTAAACATTGTGTGTGTTTTAATGGCAGCCTTGGAGACCAATCAATATTTACTTTTAAAATCCTCACCTCAGAACTTTTGAAGCCAAAGGGGCAAAGACCACGGTCAGTATCAAAGTGTGAATAGTCCTATAATGGTCCTTGGTATGGTAACTATACTTTTGTAAAATTTAAGCCCAGTCAATTCAGTAGTTTATGTGCCTATTAGTAATACACATACAGACATACACCATTAGATTTGTATATAATAGTATAGATTACAACATAGATTTAAAAACATTGAAATGAACATTAGATAAAATAAAAGAATATTTTGTAAAGGGTAGACATCAAAACATATCATGTATTTACCTTCAAAATGTTATTCAAAAGTTGACATTAAATTGATAAGGAATAATTTAAGTTTGTTATGTATTTTTAAGCAAAATAATCATTATATAAATCAAATTTTTGGTCATTTTGTAGGTTCTGATATGTCATTTAATGAATTTAATTATATTTGTAATGATTGTTGGAAAGAAAATTATGGATTTTTAACTATGAATTTGTTATAAAAAAAAATAGAAAATTATGGATTTTTAACTATGAATTTGTTATTAAAAACAAATGAAGGAAAATATATGAATAAGTTTTTTAACATAAGATTTTCTTCTAAATAAATGTGGTGTATGCTAGATTCAATTGTTGATAAAATATTTGTTATAATAATATTTGCCTTATCTTTAGTGTTTATTTTTCTTATGGAATTTACAGAAAATAAAAATGATGTGTTTGTGTTTAATTTTAGATTTACTTATTATTTTTGTTTTATTTATATTAATCATTAGTGTAGTGTTGATTGGGCTTAATAGACATAGTTCATGTTTATGTTAACATGGTTTATGTTTGTATTCACATCATTTATGTTTATATTAACATATTTTTTCTTTTAATAAATGGATAACATAACTGTCGACAAGGCTAAGAAGTTAGATGAAATTGAAAAATAATTAATAAAAAAATTTAAAAATCAGATTAAAATGAATGAAAATTATGAACAAATTAAACAAAAAAAGCATATGAACCAATAACATCTGCAATTGGTAAAGTATAAAATAAAATTGGTGAAGTTTTAAATGAAAATCAAAAATTTAATGGATTTAGTACCTATTGTTAATCAATTAGCAAATATGTCAATACCACAATCTGAAGAAGAATTTATGTTACCTTCAAGTACTCCATTTAGACCAATAAGAGAACAAATTATTGAAGAAGAATCAACATTTATAGATCCAAATATTGTTTCACCTCAAACATTAAATAAAACCATTGGTCCAATAGCACAGAAATATTTACCTAGAGCAAAAGATGATAAATTTGGTTTGTATTGGGATAAACATAAAAAATCATTTATGATTGGTGATAAAATAACAGTAATTGATAATGATGATGACTTATTGATGGTAAAACACATACTGGCGCTCATGGTTTTTTTTTAGATTATTGACATATAAAGATACACCAGATGATAATTTATATAGTCAAGATAATTTAAATAATTACTCAAGAATTTTATGGGAAACAGATTCAATTTATAAAAATAATGATCCAAGTACTAGAAAACCAAAATCAAGTAAAGGTAATAAATATATGAATTTGATTAAATTTATTTGGGATTCTAAAGGAAATATTGAAGGATCTGGTAATAGAAAATATACAGTAAATAAAATTGAATACAGATATATTGATGATTTTATCAAATTGGAGAATATAATCAATAATATATATGCTTAAGAAAAGCTGGAAATAATAACTTTATCAATGAAAAAAGAGCTATTAAGGATTTTATTTCAACCAAATTAGATGAATAGGTTAAAAAACCAGATGGTATAAAATATTTAACCCTCCGAGTGTCCCTAGTTTTGGCCTTATGTCTGCCTATTTTTTGCGCATTTGCAAGGTTTTATTAAAACGGATCTGAGAAGCTTATAAACAATGTTAATTATACTGTTCTATATACCATTTTGTTTGGAAAATCATGGGCTTCAATATTATACATAAAACATAAGGAACATTTGTTGAAAAAAAATTTTTTAGGTAAAATAATTTGGAAAAAAAAAATAAGTTCACGCTCAATGAAATTGTATAAATTATAGGCCTATAAATATTTGAAAATAGCCACTTTGTTCAGAATTTTATGAGGATTCCAAAAATATAAAATATAAAAATATATATATATAATATAAGGAAGTAGATTTGCAATTAAAGAAGTTATGGGCAAAAAACAGATTTCGGTACATAGCGTTTAGGTAAGAATGCATAGCCTAACCATAGCTAGGAATCTGGCTGATAATTTACATCAATATTACTACCTACTTCTTCAGGATCATCAACCAGCCCTTCAAAATCACTTAAATCTTCTTATAATGCACCACGTATATCACTACTTTTGATTTTTAACACTAAAACAATGATAAACGTAATAAAACACATCAGTCATCGGTGCGAGGTTAACCAAGCTGTTCACAAATACGCACGTCAGCTGTCTGCTACAATTATGTTCGGCTCGAGAAAAAACCGCTTAGAGACAGACCTCCAGAGAAAGCTTAGAATCTGCCAAATAAAACGATACCTAACTCGATCCAGTTCAATCCGATTTTGTCAGTCATAGAGCCTTCGCCGTAAAGTCGTGCTTGTGAGTCGAAGCTTCGACACAAAAAACTACACAAAGTGTGTTATGTGTCGAAGCTTTGACAAATGACACTCGGAGGTTTAAAAAGAATTTTGCCAACAATAACATCACCTATTATAGGTTCAGGATTATTAAATGATTTTATAAATAATTTACCATTTGAATTGCATGTACCTGGTTTTCAATATCTAGGACCTGGAACTAAGCTAAAAAAAATTTAAAAGAGGTGATCCTGGAATAAATGATTTAGATAAAGCTGCTAAAGAACATGATATATTTTATAGAGATAATAAGGATACAGAATCTAGAAATGAAATTGCTGATAACATTTTACAAGAAAAAGCTTGGAATATAGCAACATCTAGTGATCATGGTATTGGTGAAAGATTAGTTGTACCACCAACATCAGGTGCTATGTGGTTGAAAAGAAAATTAGGTATGGGGTTAGAAGTTGGATCAAAATTTTAACATACATAAATGGAGAAATTAAATGTAAGTTTAACTAATTATCAAAAATCTAAAATTAAATCAGCTTTTAAGAAAAATAAAGATTTAACCTTACAGTTTGATATAAATCAATTTTCAAATGGTAATGATGTATTATTATAAACTAAAAAACAATTTTAAAAAATAGAAAAACATAAAAAAATAAATACTGGATTAAGACTTGAATTTTCTTATAATCAACTTAAACAAATAAAAGATGGTGGTTTATTAAATGAAATATTAAATGTTGCTGATTATATTCCTGGCATAAATAGTTTAACACCAAAAGTTAGAAGAGGAGCTAAAGTAGTAAAAGAAAATGTTATTCCTAAATTTAGAGACTTAATTAATTGGTTAGATCAAGAATTAGAAAATGTTCAAGGATCTGGATTAGATAAAAAACATTAAAATATATAAAGAAAAAATTTCAACCCATTAACATTAGCTAACTTAGAAAAATTATGTAATAATATCAAGTATTTTAGAGGTGTTTTTATGAGAGATATGCTTCCTGAAACTGTTAATAAATTTGAATGTGGTATAGTTAATTTAGATTCTTTTTCTGGCAATGGAACTCATTGGATATGTTATTATAAAAAAGATAAAATTAAGTATTACTTAGATTCTTATGGAAAAATTGTTAATAAACTTTTTAAGGAAATTGTTAAATATTTAGGAAAAGACAATATATTTTTTAATGATTCACAAATTCAAAATTATGATGATCCACCTATATGTGGTCATTTGTGTGTTTTTGTATTAAATGAGTTGAATAAAAATTTAAGATTTGATATTATAATCAATAAATTAATTCTTAATAAATATGGATTCATTAGATATATTTGATCTATTTGGTAGACAGAAAAAAAATTTAATTGAAGTAAAAAATGATTATATAAATTCCATTTTTAATTATGTTAATAAGGATTTAAAAAACCATATTAAGAAAACTAATAATCTGGTTAATGCTATTAGTCTATCCAATTCAAAATAAACTAAATTGGGAAAAATTTCACAACATCAAACATTAAGTATAACATTTATTTATCAGTTTATTTATTAATTATCAACTTAATGGCTATATTAATTTGGTTTGTAAGTATCAAAATTTAGATGAAGATTTTATTGATAAATATAAAAATGATTTGGATTGGGAATTAGTGTTACAATATCAAAATATATCAGCAAAATTCATCATGGATCATGCACTGAATATTTAATAGTTTAAAGAAAAAAAAAAATTATGACGAGATTGATTGAATTATTCCAAAAAGATTTATAAAACTATTCTTTATTAAAAAATTTTACTGGTTTAAAAAAACTTTGAGTTTATCAATTTTTTCCTTAATAAATGGCTAATTCTTATGAAATTGAAAGAGCTGAATATAAAAATGTTTATCCATCATCTAGACCTTGCAAAAGTAGGGATTCATGAGTTTAATTAGTTAACATTCCAAACTTATATTCACTGAGGTTGCTACAACATGTTGATGTTTGTATTTCCACAGGACGTAGAGGTGGTGGTGGAGGAATGGACCGTGGGGGCCGAGGAGGTCGTGGTGGTGGAGGCTATGGAGGCGGTGGAGGTGGCTTCGGCGGCCGTGGCAGAGGGGGTGGTGGTAGAGGAAGTGGTGGACCAATGCGAGGGTGAGTGCAAAGAACTACTATTCTTGTCTTGAGTGATTGGTAGGGGTGTGCGATGCATCGATCGATTCACGGTTTGATTCAGCATGCATCAAAATCACGATGCATCGATTTGGCCTCGATGCATCGAAAAAGACCGATGCATCAATTAAGTCCCGATGCATATTTAAAACTAATTTAGGACTCCAAAATGAGTTTTAGATAGGGATCTGTTGATTATCGATACCACCGATACTGATACTAGGAATATCGGTATCAAGAATCGATTGCCAAACGTCGATTTCGCCCGAATCCGCCGATACCGACACCCGACAGGAATAGACAGATATTTTATTTTAACATTTAATTATTAGTTATCTATTAGTTTTTTAATCATGCTAACAACTTTAGTAGCCAACTTAGAACACTATTTAGTTCAAAACAGTTGAAGTGCCATTGTTTGGCTTCAGCTGTTCACTCTGCAGGCAGATGATATTGCACAACACAATACAATCTACATTTCAAGATGTCAGACAGTCAGAATTCAGTCTCAGACCCCCGGCTATTACTGTCTGCTCTTCACAGCTCACTCATCAGCGGCTTTCGTGAAATTATAATTGATAATTTTTGTTGATAATCAGTAAAAAAACCTCCCCCCTCAACCTGTTCAAGGGAAAAAGTTAGGAAATAAAATGTTTTTAAAATGTGATTTATTTTATTATTCTGTATTTAAAAGATATCGTAATTTATTAATGTGTTTTCAGCTAGACTTAGTGACTTATTTTCATAACACATGTTGAAGATATAAATAGTGAGAAAATGACATTATATATTATTTAAGTTCTAATTAATAACTAACTTATTATCTTTTTGGTAGGCCTTGCTGATCTCTTTGAACTTTTTAGTTTACACACACTTTTATTATTTCAATCTTTATTTTTAATTTCACGTCTATTTATTCATTGCATGCAATAATGTATCAAATAGACAGTAAACACTGGTTATCAACTTTTTTGGTTCGTCCTGATTTAAGAATGATCCAGAAGTATTGAAAGCCAACAAATATAAATGTGAAAATTAAGTTACAATTTTCACATTTTCAAATTTACTACATTACTAATTTACTAATTTAGGCCTACATCATAAAATAAACTCTATTTTATTTAATACAGGTCAATAATAATAAACTTAACGATTGCTTTATAGATATATAGGCTGATTCTATTTGTTAGTGAAGGGTGAATTTCCTTAGGCCAACCATAAAATTAGCAGTATCCATTAGCAACTATTCTCTCATTAGCAATGTGTGTGTTAGGTCAGCAACTATCCTCTTGTTCATAATTTTATTTAGTACATTTTTTACTTCAACTTTTTTAAGGTAAAGGATCCATTACAGAAACACATGTTGTAATTAATTTTTAAAGAAAATCATGCCGTGCTGCATCGAATCGCATCGATTCAAATCAGAATTCTTTGAATAGCATCAATGCATCTAATCGAAAAAAATATGCTGCATCGCACACCCCTAGTGATTGGTAACAGGTTTAATTATTGTCCAGCAAATGAAGCATGAAAAACTTAACTGTTTAGTATTGCAATTGTCAATAAAAGTGAAATTCAAATATCTTAAAGATGAGAGTAATTTCATCATTTAATTAAGGGTTTTAAAGCAACAAAAGTTAGTGATTTGATTTTGGCATACCAATTCACAAAAGTAATTACCAAGGAAAAACTTAATCATATTTCAAGGCCAATGGCCCCTTCTGCAACATTCTGCGAGTTCATTCTTCTGTGAATATTTCTTGAAGCGGCCTCGGAATATTCAGTTTTTCCTTTATGTTTTCTTTTATGTTACTTTTGGGAAGTTAAATGCCTACAAATTTACGGTAAGCCTGCTTATCCTGTTCTTATTGTCTCCTAAATTCTTAAATAAGCCCTTTCCAATCAAATCATCTATCATTGGTATCTATTAGCTCCTTTACTCTCCGGTAGCAAAACTTGCTCAGGTAAACTAGCTGGACTGAGTTCCACATTTAATAAACAGTGACCTATATTATTGGTTGACATTGAAAAACTAATAGTTGTTTTTTTTTCCAGGGACCGCGGTGGAGACAGGAGCAGGCCATATTAAACACATTCACAATTTATTTTTAAAAATATTTGTACCAAATAAGTATTTTTTTCTCATTAGTGTGTAAGATAGATTGTACTTTACTTGTTTTTGTCATTTCCGTTTTCCTCAAGGGCCTTCGCCTTTTAAACCATTGTAGAAAACTGATTCCACTGAATTATTTCAATTCATGATTGTTTGTTTTAAATGGGTGATATAATGTGGTCATATTTGTTAGTAACTGTACTAAATTTTGTCAACATTTTTAATCATATTTTTACAGTGTATAATAAATGGTTTTAACCCTTAATTTCTTCTGTTTATTTTTCTGTGTACTGAATGGCAAGCAGCAATGAAACAGGCAGTAACTTAATAAATTACAATATTTTTCATCCCTTGCAGAATTGTGAGTGCCTATTAAGTGCATATAAATTATAAATACAATAATTGTTAAGCTGGTTAGGTCCACCACTCTTTCTTTATGTTATGCCTTTAGTTTAACTGAAAAAGCATAACACACAACTCGCACTTAAGTTTTACGTCACTGATGCAGAACCTCAAATCATAACAATATATACAGGATTGAAATTTATGTATCATTCAATTGAAGTTTGAAAGGTAGTATTTGACAAAAGGAGTAAGAATTAAATACATATGTATCTCCTACAAATGGGTTTTTTTAATAGTCTTTTCAATTCAATTTTTAGAACCATTAAGTTTCACTTCGCCATATTGTTTAGCACTAGTTTGGTAAAGTAACAGACCCATGGGGATTAAGGATCGAGATACAGTAGAACCCCGGTTAACCGAAATAAAGGGGGAGATCTGTTTTGGATAACCAATTTAGCTTAACCCATCATATGCTAAAAATAACCAATGTGTTCCCGCAGTGTGTAGAAAAAATTAATTTAAGACAATGACTATATGACCATCGACTATATGGTCAATGATATATAACCCAGTGTTTTATTTAAGCTAAAACAATGGGTTACAAACACTTTAAGCTAAGTTTAAGCTAAACAACTGAAGTTACTAAAGCATTTTACAGCCCTGTTAGTGCAGTAAAAATAAGAGAAAAATTCCATAAACCTAAAAAAAATTAGCACAAACGGGGAATTTGGTACAGATGTTGGGTGTACCTTCCTTTTGAACATACTAAAAGTCCCCTAAAATTGAAGCTGTGCTACGGCCGCCATATTGGAAAATGGCGGCATATTTCAGTATTTTTCGCTATAGTGACTTTATTATTGGAGATACAGGAAAAAGATAAATATACAAAATGTAGGTCATCTAAAAATACACATTTTTTGTATTGACCATCTTTCTCTAAACCCAACGGTTTTTGAGTTATTTGTTATTAAGTATATTTAGTTTTTTTCTGTTTATCAAAAATAGGTGAAACACGTGGAAATTGACCGTTACTTTCAAGGATTATGATAATTTATCCCATTTAGTTAAATAGTGTGATACTATAAAATCTTAAAATTTAAGCTTATTTTATAAGTAAAACAACTCTGCCACAGCAAACCTTCAGACTCAGAAAATTTCCATTTGATTGGATGTTTTATTAATTGTATTTAAATAAAATTAGATTCAACAGGTACCTAGGTTTGCTGCTATAGGTAGGTTATTATAGTGTGTTTTTTTTTAGTAAAATATCAATAACTTAGTATAAAATAACTAATTTTCCAAGTTTGATCATAATAAATCTATAAACAAACAAACTGCAACAGTTAACTAATTAATAATAATAGCATGTTAGCTTAAGATTTACAATTTGCAAATTTAAATATACAAATTTTTGTTGTGTTTACTAAAAAGATGGTGATTATTCGTCACGATTCGAATACTAACCGAAGGGGTTTTCAAAAGGAGATGAAGCAAGTAATTTAAGTACTGTAATATTAACTCGTACCAAGTATCGGAAATATTGTATGCAGTGAGGAAATCAACCATATTTTGTAAACTACGCAATAGTCATATTAATATTTTATACTCATTTTTACCCATTTAATAAATTAACATTTTAATATTTTGATGGCTTACCACTATCACTCTGATATCAACTAAGTGGGATGAATAATTGTCGTAAACCTTGAAAGTAACCGTCGATTGCGATGGGTTTCACTGATTTTTGATAAATAAAACAAACTATACTATACCATACTTAATTAGTCACCAACATGAACTAGACACGAAAAATACCCTTCCAAATTTACAATGGGATGTCAAGTATAGTTAGTTAGTGTGGTGGTGCCATCAAAATACTAAAATGTTAACTATTAAATGGGTAAAAAATGAAGATAAAATATTAATATGACTATTGCGTACTTTACAAAATATGGTAGATTACCTTACTGCATACAATATTTTCGGTGCTTGGTACGAATTAATATTACATAAATAACAGGCTCCATCTCCTTTTGAAAACCCATTTGGTTAATATTCTAATCGTGACGAATAATCGCCACCTTTTTAGTAAACACAACCAAATTTGTACATATATTCAAATTTGTTTATTGTAAATTTAAAACTCCCATGCTATTCTTATGAATTAGTTAACTGTTGCAGTTTGCTTGTTTATAGATATATTTTGATCAAACTTGGAAAATTAGTTATTTTATTGTAAGGTATTGATATTTTACTTGAAAAAACACACTACAATAACCTACCTGTAGCAGCAAACCTAGGTACCTGTTGAACCTAATTATATTTATATACATTTTTTAATAAAACATCCAATCAAATGGAAATTTGCTGAGTCTGCAGGTTTGCTGTGGCAGAGTTGTTTTACTCATAAAATAAGCTTAAATTTTGAGATTTTATAGTATCATACTATTTAACTAAATAGAATACATTATCATAATCCTTGATAGTAACGGTCAATTTCCATGTGTTTCACCTATTTTTGATAAATAGAAAAAACTAAATATACTTAATAACAAATAACTCAAAAACCGTTGGGTTTAGAGAAAGATGGTAAATACAAAAAATGTGTATTTTTAGATGACCTACATTTTGTATATTTAGCTTTTTCCTGTATCTTTAATATTAAAGTCACTATAGCGAAAAATACTGAAATATGTCGCTATTTTCCAATATGGCTGCCGTAGCACATCTTCAATTTTAGGGGACTTTTAGTATGTTCAAAAGGAAGGTACACCCAACATCTGTACCAAATTCCCCAGTTGTGCTAATTTTTTTTTGGTCAAAACATATTTTTACTGTACTATGTATTATTTTATGGAACCATTTCGGTTAACAAGGGTTCTACTGTAAAAGAATTAAAATTTATACCTAATGCTGACCATCTGGTAATGACTAAACTACCAATTCAATTGTAGCAGTACCAAGGTAATGAAGTTTAACTCTTTCAAGCACAGTGTTACATTTATGTAACGTACTTTTTGACTTTTTGCTGCACGGTGTTACATCTTTGTAATGCGAGACATTTTTTTTTTTTAGCAATACTACTAGCGCTATGCATCTGGAAACTTTAAATGTTAGTATTATGGACCTTTGCTAGGTGGCAGCACCATCCATTTGTTTACACTCTTACAAATAACTCCTAGAAAACAGCTGTTCCTGGTGAAAGACTCGTGCCCAAGATCCCGTCTTTATTTTTATGCAAATGAAAGATATGTTGTTATTGATTATATGATTCCTATGCTGTTTTGTAATGTACTGTTATAATAGCGTCCCTTGTCATAATAGTTGTTATAATAGTTTAGAGTCATAAAATCAGTAAACTAGAATGTATTTTGATTTCTCAAAGTGCGTTACTCAAATGTAACACCATGCAGCTCAGCGTTCAAATATATCTATCCATAAATAATAAATTAACAATAAAATCCTCCAGAAACTTAATTTTAATTGCGTTTATGCATTTTTATAAATAATATGGGTACTTTGCTGTTAAAGGGAACATTCATTATTATCGATGATTTTTTTCTCGATGTATCGATATTAACAAATTGAAACATATCAGGTGACAATTACTAAATATATTGTTCAGTATCAACAAAAATTAATGAAATTAAACTGTTCTAAAATAAATAACCTAACATAACTAACCAAACTTGCTGTAACATTTAAAAATTCCGCGTTTATAACTTGCCTTTTATATTCAAACCCAAACAGAATTTTTAAATGGTACAGCAAGTATGGTTGGTTATGTTAGGTTAGCTTAGAACGGTTTCATTTCTTGTCAATTTGTAATGGATGGGAAAACAAAAACATCAATATATCGAGAAAAAAATCATCGATAATAATGAATGTTCCCTTTAACAGTACCATAATATGACATTATAAATAGGTTTTGTCATATTTTTGGCTCGATATTGATAGTTTTTTCTTATGTCATTACAATTTAGGATAAAGTTTTGGCATATTGAAACATTTGTTATGGACACCCGCATTTAAATTTATGTATTTAAATTTAACATCTGGACCCAAAAAAGTGGTTTTCGAAGTGATGTCTGTGTGTCTGGATGTGTACAGAGCTAGAGACTACACCTGTGGTCCGATTGCGATGAAATTTGGTATGTAGGTTCCAATCCATGATATCTCCAGGTGTTTTTTTCATTTTTTTGAAATTTTGATTTTTAATGGGGATTTTCCCATAAAAAACTGGAAAAATTGAATTTTCTCAAAAATGGCCAGAACGATTTTGATAAAAATTTAGTATGTTGTAGCCCATTAAATTCTGAACAAAATGGTACAAATCCCATTTCTCTAAACATTATGGTTCAAAGGTTATGGTAAATTATGTTATTTTCCCATAAAAACCCCATAAAATAACAAAAATTAGGATTTTAGAAAAAAAAATCCGGTTTTTATTAAACATAGTATGTTATGGTCCTTAAAATTTTGATAGTTTTTTTCAATTTTTTAGAAGTTTTTATTTTTAATGGGGATTTTCCCATAAAATAACGGAAAAATAGGATTTTCCCAAAAACGGCCATCACGATTTTGATTAAAATTTAGTATGTTATAGTCCTTTATATTCTGAACAAAATGGTACAAATCCCATTTCTGTAAAAATTGCGGTTCAAAAGTTATTGTAAATTATGTTATTTTCCCATAAAAACCCCATAAAATAACGGACAAATCGGATTTTTACAAAAATGGCCCGAACGATTTTGATAAAAATTTAGTATGTTATAGTCCTTGAAATTCTGATCAAAGTACTAATCCCATTTCCGTATATTTACTCTCACCGCTTACACATGATAAAGGTTGTTGACAAACTTATGGGAGAAAGTATGTGTCAGAATGCTGATACCGTTTATTAATGTTATGTAATATCAT